TAATACTACATTTATTTCCATTTCTTACATTCGTAGATGTATTAATTTATTGATTGATTGATTCCAATATATTGATCCAATATATCCAATATATATCCAGATACAATGTAAATTATATAGTTCATGATGTGCAATATTTATTTCGTATTGTTCCCAACGAATTTAGCAATGCTAACTGTAGATGTAGTTGTTTTGTTACACAATGCGTTTCACGGAGGTAGCGACTGGTCGAAATGATTACGCTGATAAGTGTCTTTCTGTAGAAATGAAGTTAAATACAGTTTCGACAAAGCTTGAGAGGCTCGAGGGATTATTAGATGGTAAATTCTTATCTACAGATAGTGTCCACGTTTATTTACACAACTCAAAGGTCTAAACATGTTAGACAGAGGCCATTGTGAAGTGAGGAGGCAGACTGGACCGCCTCCAAGTTCACCACAGGGGCGGCTCGACGGAAAGACTCATTGACCAATTGAAGCAGTAATTGCGGAAGCGACTCTATTGAATGTTTCATTGGACGTAGATTTCGGAATTAGGTGCAAAACCGAGCCCGCCCTTAACCAGTTAAGTCTCATCCGGTTTTCCACTCGACGGAAGACGCGTTCAATCAGCGAAGAAAAGCTTTTTGGAGGGCGACGGAAAATCAATTCGCTCTAAAGGTCAGGGACTTTTCCGATCTGTGGGAAGCGAGTCGCCCTTTTGGTTAGTTTGGTTCAGTTCTCTGTTCGCGCGGTTGGGGTTTGGATCCGGGTTGTCTTTACTTGACAAACAATAAGATAGTAAGTAAATCAGAATTACGTTACTCTTAACACTGTAATTGACCCTTAATATTCTTTGCAAATAAAAATACATGAAACCAACTAGGACCACAGATTACCCTACAGATAACTTAACAAATGGTATTATTGTAGCTCGTCCACAATATTTGTTTAGGGAAATTATTGAAGTATATATCCACTATCAAACTCAAACAAGTCAATCATGTAAATAATAATACACTAAATAAATATTAAATATACATTTTGGCCTATATATTTTTTATCTCGGTCAAAACTAAAGGTGGCCGTGATTAAAACTGTTTTAGTTTGTTATTGTCTCTGTAAAACAGCTGTTAAATTCAATAATTAGGTGATTTGTTTATTTGAAAACATAATATTTATCTATCGTTCAAGCTAAATAAGAAACAAATTCCGGAAGATTTATCAATTTTAATTCAACTGTTTTACCGCGAAGTAAAATGACAGGAGATTCTTGTGTTCGGTGTGGAAAACAGTTTGTGAGGCTGTAAGTATTACAATGACTAAAATTATCTCGACTCTAATATTGTTGTAGCCGACTCTTCTAGTCATTCTACCCTACCATATTTTGCTAATGAGAATTGATATGACCAGAAAAGTTATGTTAGCAAAATAAACTAATAAGAGTTAAACACCACTTCGTGTTGCTTTATGGGCCATTAAATTATCAGTTTATAGAGTTGTAATTTGTCTAATAAAATCGAAGATATTGAACTTGTTTCCTTTTAAACACGGCGTTTCTACTGCATGCGCAACAATCTTTCAATAGTTACGATATGTTGTAAAGATAATGTCTCAAATATAGAAACCCACTTGAAGATTAAATGATTATATAGAACTCAGTGTAGAAAGTGTATGAAGTAGATGAAAAGGACTTAGTGAGCTGCAAAAAGAGTTCAGGGCTTAATCCTGTCAAAAACTATAAAGGCAAAACGTCAAAATCTGGTCATCCAATGCAACTCAGGATTTTGTATTTTCCAACTAAATTTACCCTAGGCTACTTTAAGCGGCATTTTTCTTACCGAGTAGTTGGCAAATGCTGACTAGATGCTTTATGTTGGTGCACCATTGGGTTTCCACGTTGGTATCGATGTTTTTTAAACAGAAATTCGTCCTAGCGAACCTCCTTGAAGATAGTGATTAATTGATCGGAGTCTGTTGTATATACAATACCAAGACTCAAACAGCGGCAATCGAACGTTGATTAGGTGCATCCACTTGACTGCATGTTTGTCTAACTGCAAGCATACTGCATGCGAGCCTTGAACTTGATTTGAGGATGTGACTGAGAGGCAAGTGTTGAAGAGATTGTCAGCTCTATGAAGCGGACGAAGACAAATATCGACCAATATATGAAGTGGACGAAGACACATATCGACCAATATTGACACGATGTTTTAAAATATGTCAATAATATCACAACAGTTGCATAAAAGGAGTGTATGATGGATAGCACGATTATTAATTCAATTGCTTTTATCGTAAAGCTAAACAAACAACAAACGTTAAAAAGTTACTACTGATACTAGTAAAAGATGCAAGTAGGTAGCAATACACTTTAAAATAATGAATTAATCAAACCTACCCCATATTCTTTTAATAAGTAGAAATAATATTAGTTTAGAATTAATTCAATCTTATTTATTTTCCATTGTTTGTAAGGCAGGAGTCAATTTCTACCTAAAAGTATTAAATTTAAGTTAAAGCAGATTCCATCCATTTCACTCTCAACTTATTTCGCATGATCTTTTCGTAGTGATACATACGATGTCCATGCACATAACAAACATTTATGAAAACAATAAAACTACGACAGTGATATTCAAAGGCGCGCGCTTTCCCTCTTCGCCCAACAATGAACTGACCAGCTGATCAGGTAGGGACGCGCTCGCGTAATCTGATGGGTTTTGGCGGCATCGTAAGTTTATCGATTTCACCCACCCTCTGTACAACCCACCCCCGACCCCGACCCGGCGAGACAACGCTCGGGCGTGGTGCGTGCTCGTGCCTTCCGTGCATGTTGGGAACAATCTGTAAATTTATAAAATGGGGGGCTGCACGTCACAAGCGACTAAAGGAGTTGAAGAGGACCAAAGGTAAGGTTACGTGTTCGTGTGTCTCTGTCGGAATGTTCTGTTTGTTTACTTGTCTTGTTTGTCGGCGTGTTGTACAGTTGTACTCGGTGGGAGGGTGTCATCCCTTAGAGTCCTTTGTTACGAATTTGTCGCTTCGAGTGGCATTTAGTTTTGCGCTACAAGACGGGTTTTAAACGGTTTAAAATGCATTCGGCGTGTGCACGAGTAGGGGACAAAGGGAAATATTGTGGGTTTTCTGGAATTCAAAATAATTTAAATCCACATTAATTTCAGCTCTTTGTTGCAACTTGCCTGGGAATAGGCCTACCCTGGGTTTATATGCAATGTCTGCAACATTTATTGTATAAACTATTTGACATTTGGACAGATGTAAAAATATAAGGTTCGATACAGAAATTTAATTGATTTTACTGATACATTGTTGTTATCATTTAATTAGCTAGAAAAATATAAAAATCTACAGCAAAATTAAATTGTGTGTAACTAGAAAAACAATTATTAGATACAAATAACTAGATTATCAAATAGCATTAGGTCAGTTTTAAACTATATTCGATTATAAAACAACACGTTTCAAATCCTTAAGAGTTTATTCGAAATTGTGAGGTCTTTAAGATGACGTATACGTCATTACGTATATAATCAATCTTTATATTGTTTTTGTAAATAAACAAATTGATCTTAAAATGCAGTAGAACCCATAAAGTTTATGCGTTTGGACAATTTATTCGTGAAGTACCTATACTTGCCTGTAGCGGTACCTATAATTTTGGGAACCAAAATATAAAATTTGATTAGGAACGGTAGTTTGCTTTTGCTAATACCGAATGCGTCCTCCCATCCCTTTATAAACGTTGCGTTGTATTCATTACTGCGGTAATAAAATCAAAATCCGTGTACAATGCCCCATTGTTTATTATGCGTCTAAATTGTGTACACAACTTGTATAAAACCTCTGTATAGAGAGACCCTCTTTGGACGCGTAAGAAACTGAAAATCCATCAACAGGTCTAGACGTACCTAAGGCCTGTGAGTACAACGTCGGTCTCGCAAAACATAGAAATTCTTGCCGTATAGTAGAACAATTGCAGAATATAAATTTAATGTTCGACTATTTATACTAATATTTTTTATTTCTAATTCAGTGAAAAGTTCCTGTTAAACAATTTTCATTCATTTCCAGTGGTTTGACAACGTTGAATGCAATCTGTGATGTTTAAAGTTTTAACAGTCTAGCAGCTACGACCGTAATACAGTTCTCGCAGCTAGTCTGGGCGCGCGGTCGCGCTAGGGCAGGGGGTGTAGAGGGGAGTGTTTATTGCACATTTCTAAAAACATTCGGCCCACTCGGCACACTGGGGTTGTTCAGCGCCTCACTGCTGTCTTCATGGCTTTGGCGTGGGGGACGGTTAGTACACAAGGGTCCGCGCGCCCAGACTAGCTGCGAGAACTGTACATCTGCGGCTGGGGAGCTACAAAACTCAACAAGTAGCAAGCAGTGGCCGCTAGTCGGGGCTTCACAGTTTGATAGGGCTTTTGTGTTCCGTCACGCCTGGATGGCTTTGTTGTACTCCTCTCCCAGATAATATCTACCTGGTCCTTCATTCTTCCAGGATTTTTATTATACTTACGGGAAGATTATAACATTAATTGAACATAGTTGATAAATCTGACAAAAGGTGCTACAATGGACTATTTACTTAATGAAATAGATGAACTTGTTCAAAAACTTGCAGTCTATGCAAACTTGAATTATAACACCGATGAAATCATTTTTCACATTATGGTTTTAAGACTATTATTTATACATTACTAGATTATTAGATACGTGACTATAAGGCTTTGATCCTTATACACCGATGCATAATTTTTTCATATCTCAAACCCAACTTCATGCTTTCCGATCAATTTCCCTCTTCTCCTATTTCTAATTCTGGTAGTCAAATGGCATAGCCCCATCACCGATTACAGTTAACATCATACACTTAATCATACACAAAAAAAAAAAAGAATGTGAGACTTTTAATAAAGCCCCACAAAATCTCTGCAAATCTGCAGCTCATGTTGTATTAATCAACAGTAAGTATATTTACAACTTCTGTTTCAGCCCAAAAATGGTGGACGCAGCGACTTTGGAAAAGTTGGAGGCCGGCTTCAAGAAGCTGAAGGACTCCGACAGCAAGTCACTGCTCAAGAAGTACTTGACCCAAGAGGTCTTTGACAAGCTCAAGACCCTCAAGACCCCCACCTTCGGAAGCACTCTCCTCGATGTCATCCAATCAGGTAAGAAAAATTGTCATTCCCATTCCCAATCCCATAGAGAGTCCAATGCAAACTTAAGTGGAATATGTAAAGGAAGCCAAAAGGCAACTGAAATATGAAAACTACAGTACTACAGTTAAGAAGTTGACAGCAAGTGACATAGTACCATAACTCTTAGCTCTGATGCCACTTAAGTTGAACAATGACTTTTTATGAAAATTCATCTTGCCAGAAAATATTTGGAAAACAAGCTAATTTTACTACCTAATGCTATGCACCGTTACGTTTTTAGACTGAAGAGGCAATAACTGCTTCACGACTACAACTGATCAAATTTTTTGGTACAAATCATTACACCAACTCATTTCTCGAGAAACCCGACTGAAATAGTGAAATACAAATAATCATAGTTATATTTTAAACGTCATAAAATGAAAAAAAAATTAAAACATGGAATTGTTGCTTAATATTTCAAACATCAATAATGCCAAATGTGTAGACACAGGATGGGTTTCCATAAAAGTCACTTATTCTTCCATTAGTTTTGAACTGGCTATAATCTTTTGTTACCAGGGTATAATTCAATTCTTTTAACCAATTTATGTTTCACATAAACTGCATCAGTTTTGTGATAAATTTATCACCAATAGATATTTATTTTATTTTATTAATTTTTGCCTCCAGAATAAAATAACAAATCGGATGTTATCCATAACGGTGTTTAGAATTTCAACGAGTTTAAATCAACGAATTTCTAATCAGTTAAATAATAACGGACATTGCTCTGCAAAAGCTATAACAGTTTGAAAGACACTCGTGAAGAGACATGGTCAGCTATTAGATAACTTGATGGGACAGACATGAGTTGACTGATAGCGGAAGACAGAATCCATTCTATTTTAACAGCCCTGATAAAGAAATATTGCATGTCTGTGCAGTAGTTCACTCCCCTCACAAGTTAATTGGTGACTCACACAACACTTGATTAGGCAACATCCTGTGTGTGGACCAACTCTAACATTCCCCATATCATGTGGGCAATGGGTAATTCCCCTTTCACTATCATGAGGGTAGGTTAGTCCTAACTCAACTCATTCACACAAGAAGCTTAAGAGAGTAGAGTACCTAAAATTGGTCGTTTTAATCTAGACAAGGACTCCCTCGGGGAGTATCAAATTCACTTGATATAAATAATAGGCTTTTATAAGACTGTCCCATGTTAACTTTGTGTCAAGTGTAAAGCCAAGAGGCTTAGTAGAGGTATAATAGGTCCAAGTTGGATGTTTCTAAAACTAGCTGTTACCCACGGGCTTCAACCCGTTTCACTTCATAAGTACCGGTATTAATAAAACTATTGATTGGTTAAGTTAAGCTGGAATAAATAAAACAGAATGCAGCATTACAAACAAATAATCATACCAGATTTTAATAAGGTAATAAATTGAAAGAATTTTTAGCATACAATTAAGAACAGCTGAGGTATTTTTAACATATGGAAAGTTCCCTTTGAAAAGCAATTATGACCTTAAAGGGCAATTTATGAAATAATGGATAGTTTTGCGCAAGGTTTCTCGTCATGACGAATATTTTAAGTATACTAGAGGTCGTCCAGTGGTCGAAACTCGACCAAAAAAATGTAATGTACAGGCTTCTCTATTTTCAACCTAAGCTGTAAATAAAACATGTGATGATTGGAATTTCTATCATTTGTTTTGATTTTATGTTTATATTTCGTTGTTATTTTGTCACCAGCATAGCAACCCATAAAGCCCATGTTAATTTTTTGTTAATTTCAAATTATTTTTTGTGCTTATCTTTGAGTCTATTTTAATTTATCAAGGGATTCTGCACACCTACAGGAAAATAGCTTTCTAACAGTATGTGTAGATTTTCCCTACAATGAACACGAGCTGAGGAAAAAGGTTTTAAAGAAACGTGCTTGCCTATTAATATATAGATGGTTTATGGGGGTGTGACTTGTAGTTTTCTCAAAAGTTCATGGGTACTTTTGGCTTTATATATAGATAGTCGGTTTCAAGTATCAAACAAATTGTTTAATGAATAAAGGAACTGATATGAGATTTTTGGAGATAAAGTGATAATGATTCAATATTTAATTAATAATATGTTATGATAAAATTTTAATGCAAACTGTTAGCTGTTGCTTAAGTTACTTACAAACTGGATATTGTAGTGTTTATCTTTACATAATTATCCTAAGTTACTAAATTGCCATTATAAAAACTAAAATAAAATGAAAATCCGTCTATAAATATAATATAAAAGTTTCTGTCTACAGAACAGTTAACAAATCCATACCATTCCTAAAAAATAAGTAACAACTAGTAAAGTGCATCACTAAAACCATAATTGAATCCTAGCTGTCACTTAAAAGATAACCACTCAATAAAAAAATCCAGTTTCACTTTTTTAAACAACTAAAAATGACTAAACACTAAAATACGCATTTTCCATTACTCCCATAATAACATGCCTGATAATATGATTATTAACAAACTGAAAAAAAATACAGCATTAGTTGTCTGAAAAAGCTTTTGTTGAAAATTTAACCATCATAAACAGATTCGTTCCACTATTTGTGATATGAAATTGAAGCCAACTTTTTCCCGGTTGGCAGGTCTGGAGAACCACGACTCCGGAGTAGGTATCTACGCCCCGGACGCTGAGGCGTACACCGTGTTTGCCGACCTGTTTGACCCCATCATCGAGGACTACCACGGCGGATTCAAGAAGACTGACAAACATCCCGCCCGAGACTGGGGTGATGTTGACTCCTTCGCCAACCTGGACCCTGCTGTAAGCATAACTGACAAATATCCGTCAAAGGGTGATTTTGAAATAGTCAGGTTGAAGAGTTAGAGTAATCAGTTAATACAAGGAACTGAAATGTTCTTTGGTAACATTTTTTTCTAAACATACCTCCCTGCAAGAACATTTACCTCACCACAATTAAGTAAGATACCTACAGAGAATACAATCAATGGTACCTTTAAGTAGTTAACAAGCACCAGTTGCTGGTGTCTAGAGCAAATTCTATCCTTTGTCCCCTTCTGATAAGGTTTAATTTGTCATTCAAAAACATGCAAGATCAAATCATTTTTTTACTAGCTTAACTTGATGTAGAGAAGAATCGGGTGCATTTCCCACCCATCTAAGATGATTTTACATTTCTGTTTCATTATTTATTACTATTCTCAGGGTGAGTACATCATTTCCACCCGTGTCCGTTGCGGTCGCTCCATGCAAGGCTACCCATTCAACCCCTGCCTGACTGAGGCCCAGTACAAGGAGATGGAGGAGAAGGTCTCTTCCACCCTGTCTGGACTGGAGGGAGAGCTGAAGGGAGCTTTCTACCCTCTCACAGGCATGACCAAGGAGGTGCAGCAGAAGCTGATTGACGACCACTTCCTGTTCAAGGAGGGAGACAGGTTCTTGCAGGCCGCCAACGCGTGCCGCTTCTGGCCCACCGGACGTGGTATCTACCACAACGACAACAAGACGTTCCTGGTGTGGTGCAATGAGGAGGACCACCTTCGTCTCATCTCCATGCAGATGGGTGGAGACTTGGGACAGGTACGACCCCATAGACTATTGGGCTTTCAGTCATATGGAAAGATAGGCAATAACTTTTGTAGGGTGGAACTACTTTGGTATCTACTACCAATTGGTTTGGGTAGCATTTTTGCTTCTATACATGAATGAATGAATGAATGAATCCTTTTTATTTCATTACAGTACATCAGTTACAATGGTACTAACAACGATTTCTGAAATGTAATCCCCAAATGGGCTAATGCCTGTGGTTGGGGATTGAGTCCATCATCCGCACAATAAAACAATAAATTTAGGCTACTTTTAAAAAGGGAAAATAATATATATTGTACACAGAATTTTGTTTACAAGAAAAGATAAATAATAAAAAAAACTAGTTTACAAGATAAATATATACAAAACGATACAGTGTATGAAAAATGAATGCACGCATATATCACACGTTCAGTTTGCACGTTAAAATATAGGAAATTACCATTAGAAATAACACATAATTTGAAATGCCTGAGACTTGGCACATACGTTCCGCACACATAACACACATGGGAATTCATCTTAGGAAAAATGTATTAAGAGATGGTAATTATTTGAAATCCACTTATCTACATGTGATCATGCACTCTGTGATCTGCATGTATGATGCTGGAAAAGATAAAATCATACAAGAAATAAAAGACAAGATTTGGGAGTATTCTTCCCATATCTGACAGTTATATCCTATTTGGAACTGTCTGTTCACCTGCTCACATAATAGGCTAAGTGAAAAGTTTGACATTTAGATTTTTCCTAAAAGATTATTTGAGAAAGATGCAATAATGTCCTTTTAAACAGAAACAAATGAATAGCCTCTATTCTAGGAAAGAAAAATTAAAGTGTTGGAAACCTCAATTCAATTCTGTGCCTAAACTAAAGGTTTTGAAGGGAATAACATGGTCGATATTTATTGCAGGTCTACCGTCGTCTGGTGTCTGCTGTCAATGACATTGAGAAGAGGGTCCCATTCTCACACAATGAGCGTCTGGGATTCCTCACCTTCTGCCCCACCAACCTGGGAACCACAATCCGTGCCTCCGTGCACATCAAGGTGCCCAAGCTGGCCGCCAACAAGGCTAAGCTGGAAGAGGTCGCTGGAAAGTTCAACCTTCAGGTGAGAAAGCTGCATCTTATATATCTATCTTCCACAGCAGTTATAATCACTTGATTTTGAGAAAGTTATATATTTTACACCAACGTTAGACGTACTAAAGGAAATGGATCCAGCTATGATAAAAGTAGCTGGCTTTCATCGAAACAAGACTTGATAGTACAGGTTATCATTCAAAATTGCACACTGATCTTTAAAAGCCTTTAAAAGGGAAAGTTGGAACTAGGCCTCCTAGTGGAGCAAGTAGCTGGTTGTGTCTTGCTAAGGCAAAGGTTCTGCAATCATCAGCCTTCTCCAAAATCTTCGTTGCAGCCAAATATTGTTCTTGTTTGGCTAAACAGAGTGCTGAATGAAAACATTAAGTGGTGTTCAAACTTCTCTCCTCAGCCCCCAGCGCTGGAGTCACTTCTTCTCCTGACATCTGTCATCAAGAGGCACTATTTCTGATATCTATAAAAATCCTGTCTGAAATTAGACCATAGACAAAAATAAACAATATAGGTTCTAGAGCACACCGCTGGGAGCGTCATGTAGTTACGGCGTACGTGCTACGTAAATACACAGGGCTGCCAGCGGTGTGCGGCATAACCTATTGTAACCATAGCACTGCTGACAGTCTATATTTAATTCTTTTTGTATATGATTAGACTAACCCGTTAGCTGCAAAATCTCTCACCTAAAAAATAACCTTAGTCCTGGCAGTTCAGCTACTGCTATATCACTAGTTCTTCATCTCTGACACAGCAATAGTAGATGGCGTGTAAGGAGTATACTTTATTAGACACGGGTTATGTCTAACGTCTGGTGTTTGACCGTAGGTCCGTGGTACCCGAGGTGAGCACACAGAGGCCGAGGGTGGAGTTTACGACATCTCCAACAAGCGCAGGATGGGACTCACAGAGTTCCAGGCCGTCAAGGAGATGAACGACGGCATCGCCGAGCTCATCAAGATCGAGCGTGAACTCTAAGTCTCAGGCTCCTACGTTCATATCCATTCTTTTTTTTATTTAAAGATTTATGTACTTTAATCTATTCTTTCTACCAAAGACGGAACCGACTACACCAAAAATAAAATTGTGATATGTAATGTTAGTTGTACATTGCATATTGGAATCGACTGAAATTAAACTAATAAGAAAAGAAAGTGGAAATTTCAGTTTTTTTTACCATCGGTTTTCTCATGTTTTGTTATCCTAGTAGATGTGCTATGTCGTTACAATATGATTCTGGTGTACATTTTGTTAAGCATTATCTGGAAGTAATTTTTTAAATTACAACAAACCTTGCAAAATAGATCCTAGTTTGTGTCGATGCTTAATGTACCGCTTGTTTTATAGGACACTGTAGTGTACCCTGGAATACTCGTAACGTTAGTTGTTGAATTGTGTATATGGTTAGCTACCACCCGAGATGGTAAATTAAACTGTTGACAAAATAAAATTGGTTACTATATTCTCAATCTTTTCCTTCCAAATTCCCTTTCAGATGCCTCTAAATGGTGCAGCTATTTATTATGTGTAAAAATTAAGTTTGCAAACTCTGGCTGAGGGACTATCATCAAATTAATCTCTATATCCCACATGGTATACATTTGTTCAAGCTAGGGTTGCCATATGGTAATTTGTAAAAAAAGGGGAGATTCTAGCTAGTGGCCCCAACTACAGTAAATAGGCCTAACAATTTACGGGCTAGCAAAATTGTACACCTACATAGCACAATTAAATATTATAACAGAATCGGTATGAGTCATACACATAAAAAAATTATATCACTGACCTGAAATTAAACACGTTTTTATTAATACTTAAATGGAACTGTCAAAAAACGGCCAAACCAGTTGTTACAACTATTAGTCATAAAACATTTATATAAAATACTTACTAATATTAGGCTACGTCTATTGACATTCGGGCCAGTGACGTAATTTATTTATGTTAATTAATCCATACCGTTCTGTTCAATATTTGGGCTACAATGTCAATATTCAAATATGGTACGCTAAAGCATAAAATTTTCATCTTGCTTGTCTCATCTCACTTAAAATAAAGAATAATGTTAACAAAACACTCTCTGTCTGGCTCTGGTAGTGAACACAGATACGTTCGGACTTGGGAGTTCGAACTGGCCGGCAGACGCCAATTTAAAAATGTTAATAGAGAGTACAAAAGTATTTTTCAGTCATTGCATAGGCCTACCCTAACAATATTTGTGAACACAAACATTTTATTTATTCCAAAAGTGCCGTTATACAATTTATTTTGATTGGCAGTAAAAAAAGAGGATATATCCCACTTTTTGCAGAAATCCCCCGGAGCTAAATTTTGAACGTCAAAATCCGGTAATCTCCGTGGAAATCCAGGGATATGGCAACCCTAGTTCAAGCAAATAGAGCAAACATTTTGAAAGTAAAAATAAAAATTTATCTAAAAAATTATAATTGATTGCATTATTTGCCATACTGAAGGTAAAAAAAAGGTTTAAAAATATATACTGGTAGTAAGTGTGATTAGAATTTTTAAAAAGTTTAGTGCCTAAAACTCAAAACTCTCATGTTTGAAAAAATCAAATGAAAATCATGACTATTTCTGGAACAGGGGAATTAACAGACAAAATACTAAAAAAGACAAGGACCTCATTATCCTCAATAGATGTGTCACAATATACATTTTTGAGTCAATACAAAATGTTGGAATAGTATATTTCGTACTTAGGACTGATAATGAGCTTTTGCCGGCTCGAGAGCTGCAAAACATTTTGGTCCGTGGTACGAACGCTATTTTTCACCACTACCACTATTCACCACAATAATAAAGCACACTGATAGTCAACACAAGTACAACTTTAAGGCTGTGAAGAAATAATTTGAGGAATCAGCAAAAATAATAATAAATAGTTGCTAGGCAGTGATGACAATAAAACAATTCTATTGCAATGCATGTATGGATACTGATTGTGTATTTAATATGCATTCACGTTTTAAGTAAGTAAGCGGGTAGCTGATTTTGGGGCCCTAGGGATGTAAAAACCTGCTTGGTCCCCAAATGACGATGACAGCTGGCATGGCCAGCAAAACGTATCTTTCAGCCACCAATTAACGTATGTAAAACAGCTAAAAACATCATAGTGTGGTAAAAATATATTTCAAATACCTTTAGCAGCAGTTTAAACAGTTGCATTTTAAGCCCAAGTAGTAATGATGCTACTACTCACAATTTGTATTTTCTTAGTAGGTATACAATAAAAGAACTAGGCTTGGCCTATATAGGTAACAAATAAATAGTTTTACTGTATTTACATATATACAAAACATGACTGCAGTTGATCACTATGTGAAGGGTTTACACAGAGCTATTGTGTGATCGACTCCCGCACTCACTTTGAGGACATGTGCTCCAACATTGACCTTGAACAAAAAACCTTATTGGTTGAATAGAAAAATGAGTATATTAGAATTAACCTCATATTACAATTATTGTGTTGAACGTTGACATTTTTTAGCACGACAGGATTTTAAATTGATCAAAGAAAATTGAATGCACTGTTAAGTTAGATTTTAAAAACCCAGGGATTCAACCGAGTATGGCTGATTTCCTAGCTGGTGAATACAGCTGTGATTTTACAATGCGATGTTCGGCACTGACTCAATACATAGGATTGGGTGAAGTAGTTTACCTAGCTGCCGAATGACGTAGCGACTGTACAACGTAGCGGGCTGTGGGAGGGGTTACTGATTTCAAAGCTTAATAAAAAAGGCCCTATAAATAGTAAAAAATATTCAGAGCCGCATTAAAACACGCAGAAACTCATAAATTTTTGTTTAATACCTTAATGTTACATATTCTTAAGGTAACCCCATAAAAAAGTTCAACAGTGTTAAATACGGACTTCTAGGTGGCCACAAAACTCATGAGATTTTGTTTTGACATATACATGTGTATATTAGATTGAGTTGTGTATTTATAAGGCCAACGTCGCAACTGAATAGCGCCGTTGGTGTATATATACGGAAAACGCTCGGAAAGGGTTAATTGCATCATACAGGTGATACGAAACTGTCAACACGTAATTAGATTTTCAATTTATATAACATTATATTGCTTAACCATCATGCGTGGATTGAAGAATTGAGTAGATTAAATTTAAATGCTGACCCACTGGAAGCATTATTTAGAAAATATATGAGGCTTGATTGTTGAAGATCCGCTGGTTGTTAGCTGGAGTTATAAAAGTCCAAGCATTGAGTTCAGTTTTTAACAATCATAGAGTTATTGAATTTTCTCAATATCAACCAGTCAACCTGTTGATTAGCAGAGGTAACCACAAGTTTGAGGCATGTCAGGAAAGGTTGGAAATGTGTTTGTTTTACAGCTGTATCTAAATTACTTTACACGTTTACACAAATAAAAAAACTGTCAGTAAAATAAAATTGACAAATACAAAAGATAAACAAACCTTGAGTGGAAAGTACTGGTCTTTAGTTGAACCGATGCCCAAACAGCCGCTCTTGTTTCGTCCCCACATGTACAGCTGTCCTTGGTTAGTGATGGCAGCCAAGTAGTAGAGTCCACTGGCCAAACTGTCCACACGGGAGTGAGGCATGAACATGTTCTGACCAAACAATGTCTCAGGCACTCTTAGTGGTCTGGGTGACATGTCTACCTGGGGTCCTAGACCCAACAGACCATAGCCCCAGACAAAAACAGCACCTTCCTCTACAACAAATTACACAAGACAAATGTAGACGATATTCAATTTGATTTTGTACAAAATCTCGGAAAAAAGTCTAGTATGTCTCAGACACACTGTTTAACAATTAACCCTCCCAGTGTTACTTGACGAAAATTCGACAAGCAGCACACTTTGTGTAGTGTTACCTGTCGATTTTTCGACACGCAGACATCGTTTACGGCGAAGGCTCTATGACTGACTGAATCGGATTGAACTGGATCGAGTTAGGTATCGTTCTTTCCGTAATATTCTAAGCTTTCTCCAGAGGTCTGTCTCTAAGCGCTATTCATTTTAGTTCCGAAAATGTTGTAGCAGACAGCTGACGTGCGTGTATTTGTAAACAGCTAGGTTCCCCCGGACCGATGACTGATGTGTTTTATTACGTTTATCATTGTTTTAGTGTTAAAAATCAAAAGTAGTGATATAGGAGGTGCATTATAAGAAGATTTAAGTGGTTTTGAAGTGCTGGTTGATGATCCTGAAGAAGTAGGTAGTGATATTGATGTAAATTATCAGCCAGATTCCTAGCTATGGTTAGGCTATGCATTCTTAGCTAAACGCTATGTACTGAAATCAGTTTTTTGCCCATAACTTATTTATTTGCAAATATACTTCCTTATATTATTATATATTTGTAATCCTCATAAAATTTAGAACAAAGTGGCTATTTTCAAATATTTATAGGCCTATAATTTATACAATTTCATTGAGCGCGAACTTTTTTTTTTTTTGAAAATTTTCTAAATTATATTTTTTTTACCTAAAAATTTTTTTTTTGAAAAAATGTTTCTTATGTTTTATATATAATATTGAAGCCCATGATTTTCCAAACAAAATGGTATATAGAACATTAGAATTAACATTGTTTTAAGCTTCTCAGATCCGTTTTAATAAAACCTTGCAAATGCGCCAAAAATAGGTGGACATTAAGGCCTAAACTATGGACACTTGGAGGGTTAACCCCCAAATCAGATCCTATGTTAAATTCATAGGATAGTAAATTCATAGGGTAGTTTTTCAAATACAACAGAAATCTACAAATGTGGAGGCATACATTTTATTATCTTCAATAAACATTGCTTCTATAATTCTTGCAGGAGTTTTAAATAAACCGTTCGAAGTATTTATTTGAACATTTCCGGCTCTAGTAAATTAAAATCAACATTACTGTGTACATGAATAAACACAAAAACTTAACTGAACTGAACCGAGCAGAGACTGACCAACCGTAGGCCTCACGAAGTGTAAGCTCAAATAACCATTGGCGTAACCAAGTGGAGAACCAACCAAGCTTTCTAGATCCAACTTAAATACAAGCACAGTCCTCTTACCATTGAGTACAGCACAGAAGCTTCCCCCTGCAGCTATGTCGATAATCTTTCCCAATCCACGAGTTGATTCAAGCCTTACTGGGGTACATACCTGCAAGTAAACATTGGTGTTTTAGGCGAAGGACTTAAAGTCAAGATTTATATTTGTTGGCAAGTCGGTGGCTGAGGCCGTAGCACACTACTACGCTTTCTCTTGGTAAAGTTAGCACTATTATAAGACTGATGCAGGTTAATAACTTTAGTTTGACAATTTAAAATAACATGGGGGTGTTTAAATTAAAACACTAACATGAATAGTTATTGATAAATTATTTTTCTTTTCTATGTAAACATTTTTACTTGGAAAAATCAATGATTGTCACAAAAACATTCACTCGATCAAACAAGACTAGTTTGAAGAATCTGGTTTGACTAAAGAGGATGTAGTGAATTGCCTTATTTTGAAGAATTGTCAGTACCTAGAAGAATATTGGGAGATATGATCCTAGAGAATGCCTGACAATGTATGTTTCTCCGTTAGCTTATTCTTCACTATTGCTCCAATCGAGAATCTAACAAAGGACAACCAAACAATGTATTAGATACTCGAGTTCTCCAGTCAAAGCATTGATCATCTGATGCTGTGCCACTTTAACTTTGACTGTAGCCTAAAATAAGTAATTTTTCCATTTAAAAAAATATTTTTGGGGTCTTTCTGCCACAGTGTCGCTCACAGTTCTGCTTTGGGGCCAGGGAGAATGGAAGACAGGTTTCCTAATTCTGCTTGGTTTATAAAGCCCCTGGTCATTTTGATAAACATATTAATCATAAATACTTATTTTCAAAGAATTTCGTTCAGGTGGAATTTGAAGAGTAACCTTCGTCTGGTAATAACAAGAATCTTGTTAATACCAGACAAGATAATATTGTGATCTACAAATAATTAACATGTTTACAAAGTTTGTGGACATTATCATTTTATTTGGTATTATTAACACTAAAATTATGGAATATTAGTAATAATGAGGTTATTATAGATTAATAGGCCAGTTCCAAAAAATATCAAGGATGGATCTCAGACAAAGATCACTGTACTCACCTGCTGTAAGTCACCAGTCTCTGACAACTGCCTGTACTCGTTGTTTCCCCATCCAAATACTTCTCCTTTATCTATAAATCCGGAATATTTTTTAATTAGAAGGGCCAGCCTAGCAATACGATGCAAGTTTAAAATCAGAAACTATCCAAAATGTCATCCACACACCAAACAAAAACTTTAACTATCCTACTGACATTTAAAGAAAATTTATCTTTGCATCACCAATGCAATACCAGGTGGGCCAGTTACACCCAAAAACCTAGATTTAGGGATCTTAACTTGGATTAGAGAGTTTCTGAAATCACACACTATTAGCATTTTAGATTTTAAAGAATTTAAATGGATAAATTAACCATAATTACACATGGTTTATAAATAGTACGATGCACTAAATAAATCTAATAACTTCTCACTTATTGTTCCTATGCCAATTTAAAAAATAAAAAAATATTTTTCTGGTTTTTGAGATCATAAGTTGATAGGATAAATAGTTAACAGCCAAAACCTTGTAGAACTATCTGGATCAAACTTTTAAAATTATCGGATAAGTTAAACTGTCAATTGTTACTGCTGTTTCAATATCATTATTAATAGATTTTCAAACACACAAAGCCATTTATAATAGTCTTACCCTCTTGACAATACTACAAGCCCACACTCACCGTTGAGGGCCAGTACACAGTCGCCAGTGCCGGCCAGTTTGGTAATTCTCTCACTAGCAATGTCGCCTCCTACTCGGCCGATCTGCCACTGTGAGTTGTAATCTCCTCTGCCCAGCTGTCCATCAGCTCCCCACCCACAACTGTACACCCCTCCCCTCTCCCCCTCCGTCACCATCAGCCTACACAAGCAAACACAACAAGCGGATAATAATATCAATTCAATATTTGGGTGCAATTCCACAGCTATGATGACAACCAGCTACTTCAGTAAATGTAATTGTTACAATTAACTACAACTGACCATACTCTAGCAAAATGTTTGTAAAATCAACCATGGTGTAATGTAGTTTAACAATAGAAAAACAGATTCCAAATTATTAGCACAGTCTTAAGCTAATCTTCTCAAAGTCAACAGTAAGAAAATGCTGGATGAATGACGCAGTGTCCTAAATATAATCCTATTTGTAGTTTTTATTCGTTTTCGTAATGTCTTCTTACCGTCCGTATAGGTGTGTGTGTGTGTGTGTGTATGTAAATTTAGTAGTAAACAATGACAAGGATTTCATAATCAAACTGCGATGTTTTGACAATAGCGGATACTAGGGATGGACGGGATTGAATTTTTAGTTCGGGACGGGACGGGACGGGATTTTTATTTCCTTCCCAATTTTTGGGACGGGACGGGATTTTTTCCAGTGCTTAAAAAGTAAGTATTGAGTATTGCAGTTACCAAACAAGACAAACAAAATCAATGTTTACCATTTGTGGCACTGATATATAAAAACAAAAGAATGGGTAAAAACTTACAGGTGCAGTCACTCAACTTGTGACTTGCGGTCGAAATGACTCACAGTCACGGTGCTATCGTCAAAATGACTCGCGGTCACGGCGGGATCGTCGTTATGACTCCGCGGTCAAGGGTTGATCGTCGGTATGACTCGCGGTCACGGCGTGATCGTCGGTATAACTCCGCGGTAATTTCGCAATCGTAGGTATGACTCTGCAGTCACGGGATGGTCGTCTGTATGACTCTGCAGTTACTTCGCGATCGTCGGTATGACTCCGCGGTCACAGCGCGATCTTTGGTATGACTCGTGGTTTCGGCGGGATCGTCGGAATGACTCGTGGTCACGGCATGATCGTCGGTATAACTCCGCAGTAACTTCGCGATCGTAGGTATGACTTGGCAATCACGGCATGATCGTCGGTATGACTTGCGGTCACGGCATGATCGTCGGTATAACTCCGTGGTAACTTCGAGATCGTAGGTATGACTTGGCGGTTACGGCATGATCGTCGGTATGACTCGCGGTTACGGCATAATCGTCGGTAAAACTCCGCGGTAACTTCGCGATCGTAGGTACGACTTGGTGGTCACGGCATGATCGTCGGTATGACTTGGTGGTCACGGCATGATCGTCGGTATAACTCCGCGGTAACTTCGCGATCGTCGGTATGACTCGGCGGTCAAGGCGTGATCGTCGGTATGACTCGCGGTCACGGCGTGATTGTCGGTATGACTCGCGGTCAATGCGTGATCGTCGGTATGACTCGGCGGTCAAGGCGTGATCGTCGGTATGACTCAGCGGTCACGGCGTGATCGTCGGTATGACTCGGCGGTCAAGGCGTGATCGTCGGTATGACTTTGCGGTCAAGGCGTGATCGTCGGTATGACTCGGCGGTCACGGCGTGATCGTCGGTATGACTCGGCGGTCAAGGCGTGATCGTCGGTATGACTCGGCGGTCACGGCTTGATCGTCGGTATGACTCCGAGGTTACTTCGCGATCGTCGGTATGACTCCGCGGTCACAGCGTGATCGTCGGTATGACGCCGCGGTCACGGCGCGATCGTCGAAATGACTTCGCCTCCTTTGTTCGCGGAACTATCGTGAACATCTCTCGCGATAGCGGCGTCATCGTCACTCGCTAAGCGGTAAAATCGCCGACGATCGGATCAAATCCCGTCCCGAAAAATTCCCGAATCAAATGTTATCCTGTCCCAAAAATTGGGAATATTTTTTTCCCGAAAATTTCCCGAAATTTCGGGACCCGTCCAACCCTAGCGGATACAAGCCCAAACATGTAAACAACCTTTTGTAAAATTGAACTGTTTGTCGAATTTATAAGGTATGAAACGTATTTATCATACAGGATCTTTAGTTAGATTAGCTCTAGCCAATACAATCGCACAAGGAAGAAGACAGTGTTTGAAAGACTAATTAGGCTATTTATATGATTTATAGTACTGTAGGAAGAATATAATGTGTAACACGAGTGCAAACTGCCTTTGCTACTCTCGAGGAACTTCCACACTCGCATACGGCTTGTGCACAAACATTTCTCTTGTGTGCAGCAAAGTGCCACTTTGCCCACTAGTTCACCCACACAAATAACTATTCCTATCTATCAATTAAATTACTGTAAGCCAGCCAGTTTGGAAAACTTTAACCTTTACATTTTCTCTAGGAGTCCTACTGATAGGTTGACAAACAACTCAGATAAGATAGCCTATAACTGGAATTTAGCAAACAGGAAAGCAACATCAAGTCATTGAGCAAACAAATGTTGTGATATTGATAGCCTATCCTGTATATTACTAGTCCCTTTGGCTTCGTTGTTTGGCTTTAAATGTTGTACAATTATATACCAGTTAGCCTATTATAGCACTGTTTTTTCATTGTATTAGGTTTAAGTGCATAGGAGTGCTTCAAGAAATATAGTGAATGATGGGAAATATGTTCTATAAATTACTTCTGAGACACTAAAAGTGACCCGTAAGTAATCTATTTATGAGCATTTTATACAGATTGATCAGATCAGAGATTAAAGGACGATAGGACAAATTTACAGAATAGCGAACTAATTTAGCCTATTTGGGATTTTCATTTTTAAACTGCAAACTGTGAAGTGTGAATCAATAATAAGTTAGTGCCAATTTTAGGCTACCACTAGGCCACAAGGAAAAGGAGACTGGTTGCTGCCAGTCTAGTACAGAGACAATTTGTTAGAACAAATATGGAATTTTAATTTTCCAAAACTAATCATATTACATAATTTGTGGATGACAATGAAGATAATATTCTCATGATTGCTGGAGATGTTCACGATTTTGCACCAATCGTGGGAAGTCCCACTCAGGTTAATTTGGCCTAGAGCCTCAAGTACCCTAAATCCGGCACTGTGATAACTTCAGTAGAAAGCACTGTGATGTCTGATGTTTATTTGTGCTGAGCTTACCTTTTCACAGTGTGTGGTTATTAAATATTATTAATCTATATAATTAATACGCTACATGAAACTTTGTCGGTTGAACTCCTCCGCCATTTATTAACCGATTTCATCCATTGACGTCTCACTGGAAAGAGCGTGTCGCGTAGATTTGCAAACTGGCCTTACATTTTTGAAAAAGTTCTTTGGGCTCTGCCCCAGTGGCTTTGAAAGTTCCCATGTTATCCTTATGAGGAACAAAATTGTTTACATTTTGATCAGCTGTATAATTTAATTGCTGTTATTTATTTGTCAATTCAATGAAACTCATTGAGTACATTTGTTTACTATTTGAGTTTGTGTAAACATAACCCCCAAGACGGATCGTGTTAGTATGGTTTTATCTTAAATTTGTGTATTTATGTTTGTTTTGTGTCGCTATGACGGATCGGGTTAGCATGATTCTAACTTAAATTTGTGCATTTATAGTGTTTTTGTGTACCTATAATTTGTTTATTTGTTGTTGTTTTTTTCTTTTAAATGTCTCCGACGCGACGAAAACGAAACATAGACAGGAGGCGTAATCGTGATAACGACCGCAGCTACAGATCAGTGGCGCGTATTAGGCTTAACTCATCACAGTCGGCACCTGACCCTGGACACACTCAACTATTAGGTTACAAATGCGCCCTAACACTACCCCAAAACGACTTTTTGTTCTCAATTGGCCCTCTATCAATGACCTGTGTTGCCTGTACAGCGAGGCATTTAGAGAAGGAGAAAACCAGCCGGAATGCTTTAGGTTTATCAATAACGAAGATAAACATGGTCTGAGTTACACACCGGTAATCTTTGAGTTGACTCTTTTAAACTCATTGTAAATATGACTGTTATTCGTTTTGAAATAACTCCTGTAATACATTGCAATTGCTCGAATTCGAGCAACATGTACGCTAGTTAATTTTATTCTTGAACAAGAAAACTAAACTTTACCAATTTATTCTTAACTAACTACACAATAACATTCCAACATAATAACATACAGAAGAATGTCTGTTTTAACTATTGACAGTCAATTAGTGAATGTATTCAAAAGATGCAGCTTTGATTCTGTAAAACTGGAAAGTACACATTATGGCAGTATTTCAGAGCCATTGTAAAAACGTCACAACTGTCTTAAAATTGCTAACCATCTAATAGATGTTAAGTTGTACAATACTGCTCTTTTAAGCGTGGACCGATATTTTAAAATGAATCCATACAATATTTATACTCACGTATGGTCTTGTCCGCATACAACTGCAACAATACTGTTCCCATCAATATTAGGAATATTATGCACAATTCTGCTGCCGCTGTATTTTTCATTTTCTACAATCCGTCGACCGCATTGTCCGTAAGCGTTGTTGCCAAAGGTAAAGACGCCATGAGTGTCAGTAAGTACAACAGAGTGGGCGCGACCTGCTGCCAGTCCTTTAACTTTGGTCGTTGGATCAAGCGGAAGCTCAATTGGTGCAGGGCTGGTGAGTATGTTGAGGGGATGATCTCTCCTGGGGTCATGGTAACCTAAACATATTCACTGACTACAACAAATGATTGAAAGTTGTAGTTTGTGTGCACCATTGATTGCTAGAATATGGCTGCACAAGTCAGACTAATTTATTTTTAAACTCTTATTACCCATACAAGATTCATGCAGCATGTAATAATCGACCTGGTCTGCTAAAGATTCATGCTTGAGGGCACATTTTTGGGTTCTAGTGATGACCACAATACTTAAAATAACTGTCAATCGAAGGAAAACTGAAAGCACTAAAGACATGAATAAATGGTGAATATTTCTGTATAGGCTAGTCATTGCATTTTGGAAAAGACTGTGAGATTTGACACGGCTGACAAAAAAGAACAGTTTCTAACTTTTAACTTTCACCACAGATTGGTTTTGGTAAAAGAGGAACAGCCACTCTTTACCTGCCAACCCTTATCTTTTGATACTTACCGACAATGAGTTGATTATTCACGTTTATCCCTACAAATCACGTTTTAAGTCCTATTTTCATGTTTTAGTTTTGAAATTTTCAAGCAAGTCCAAACACTGTGTAGGCCCAACACTTAGGTTTCCTAGACGCGTAATAGATGCGCAGCGGTTTAGATGCGCTGCGGCTTTTGTCCAGGCCCCAAAACGCAGCTGCGAGTGGTTTCCTAGACTGCGTACACAATACACACGGTTGGTGTGTAACATAAGTTCACGGGAGAGATTACTAGTGGCTACTATGATGTTATACAACGATTTAGATAATGAAATGTATACTTTGGTATTAAAAGTTTCGAAGAAGTGTAAGCAGTGAAAAGTACATGATTAGGAACTGTACGTGGCCTTCGCAGAAGTTTTAACCGTAGTATTAAAGCAAACATGTCAATTTAAAATGTAAACAATAAATTTTAATTTAACCTCTCCAACTTTGATTTTACTGTTATTATATTTAGGCCTACCTATTCGGAATTTACCGAATTGACAAAATCTATATTTTTAATACGCTTGGCATATTTTTGTCATAATTGTTTTAGAGCGGTGGTGCTGCCGATCACCATGTCCAAGGTGTCGTTAGAAAGGTCTTAGCATGTAGTTTTGCCATCAAACAAAAAAACTTTGGAATTCAATCAGGGCTCTGCCCCAGTGGCCTTCAAAGTTCCCATGTTATTCTTAGGGAGAAAATGTTCATATTCTAAGTATTCATCTTGAACAGATGAATACTTTGAAATTGACACTAATATTTGAATCAGCTGGTTATACTAAAATTTGAGACATGTGCTATAAGGATCCTTATATATAAATACATGAAGGCTATTTCTACGAAACACTACTCCCCCATTAATAATGGACGGATTTTTACAAACGATGTGTCAAAATGAAGTTTTGTTTGTGTAGATGCCCCCTTTCACCACATTGGTGAAAGGGGGCATCCCCCTTTCACCAATTCCTGTAATAAAAGTCCTCCGGCTTTGGCCCACAGGCCATCAAAATCGCAAATAACGCCGGTAATACTTTACAATTGCTCGAATTCGAGCAACAGGTGCACTAGTAGCATATTATTTACGAGTATAACTGCAGTAAGAATTTCATACTTATACGCCAACCCCGTAAGAAGGACGGGTACTCTGCCAGTAATTAATATAGGATTATTACTAAGATGTTCAGGGGTTCTTAAAATAATTATGGGGGCTCTTATATTTGGGAGTTGCTGTTGTGCTGGCTTGAAAAGAATATTTGTCAACATTAGGTTTATTTACAAATTACGAATATGTAAGGACAAATTAATTGTAGGGAACATTTAATAGGGGAATTAAATATTAAAATTACACATTATGGGGAAATTAACACTACCTAACGAATCATATGAAATGTAATACTATAAACATTTTAATTGTATGACCAACGTACTTCCATAATATGTCATTTCAAGAGACAAATTCAATCGATTTTTTGTTGTTGTTGGGGAATTTTGCCATCTGGACAACATTTACTTCCGAATCCATTGCACAAGATATGTCTAAAACGCAGCGTAACTCAGATTTGACTGCTCTAAAAGCAGTCGGTGAAATACGCAGCTATTGGTGTTAGATGCGCGCGCATTAGATACGCAGCCTTAGAAACCGCTTACACGAAACTCCATAAGACAATGGTGCTGCGTAATAGATGCGCACATGCAGCGCATCTATTACGCGTCTAGGAAACCACAGCTTTAGGTATAAAACAAACAGCATCATGAAAGCCAAACCAATGTAGGCCTACAAATTTTTACTCATGAAAAAAAAAAGCGGAGATATAAAACCCTTAATTTACTCAATACATATGTTTCTAGTAGCATTAGTATAGTTGTGTAATCAAAAGTGTGATTTCTAAGACTACTGGTTCTTGGTAGGTTTATTTATTTATTTATTCAAATACATCACATAGGTAACGCCTAAGGAGTGCTTCTGCACGCAGGCAGGTAAATTGTCAAAATATACATTGTGTACTAGTATAGAGAATAAAAGCAACATAATAATAAATATAGTAATAAACATAATAAGAATAAAGTATTAACAGTATTGAACAGTATTGAAAAACAAGTATAAAATAAGTTAGGTTATTAGCAAAGTTTACAAATAAGTTATATCAATGTCAATAAGTTATGTTTACTACAATCAGACTGATAAAAAATCCTCAATTCTGTAAAAACAATTGTCTAACAGGTAAGACAGTAAGTGTAACCGGAACTTTTTAAATGATTCTACCTCTCTCAGTGATAAAGGAAGCTTATTATACAGTTTGAGACCCATATAAAAAGTACTCTTTTCATAAGCAGCAGATTTATGTATGGGGTACTGAAACATACCCCAAAACAACCCCAACACACAACAACAGTGTTTGTTTTGGGGTTATTCAAAATAGCTAAGTTCCATGCAAACTTACCTATTTGCGAATCTGTGTTAATACCACTACCAAATACTTTGTATTTTTCTTTTGTATCGACAGCAAATAATGTAAATCCATAACCACAGGCAATGTCAGTAACCTGAAAAGAAGAGTGGGAATAAAATTGATATAGGTAATACATAGTAAACTTAATTTAAGGATCTAAGATATGGCACATAAAAATCAAACAAGTAAGTTACCGGTAGGGACATGAGTAAAGACGTATTTTCCATTGGGCAGCACATGCTTGCAACAAAATTTCGCATTTACGATTCTTGTTAAAAAATTACAATAGCATTCTAAAACTAGACATAAAAAATGAAAGATGTAAGCAATATTTTTATTTATTAAATTTTGCTAGGCTATTTTACCTTATTTTGTTCAGCAAATGTGAGCCGAAGAGGCTTATGATGAAACTCGGGAAGTTTTTTTTTGTACTTCACAGTGTTCTTTAACTGAAGTCTGTTACCCAAAGCACCATGTTCGGAAAGGCCCCAGACATATACTCTTCGATCACTGCTAGATCCGGGTGGATACTGGAACACTGGAATAAAACAAATGAAATCATGCTTTCAAAGTTCTAAATTTTAAGAACCTACAAAGTTTAAAAGTAAAAAATAATTCAAATAAGTTAGCCATCTTTATTGCTTGAAGCTGGGGCCTCTTAACTAAAAAAGTACTATCAGATGCATGTGTCTTATTTGAAAGGACACAATCAAAGAAGTTAAATACTTTTAACATTGTCAAGCACCCACCACATTTAAATATGGTCCACCAACAGACCCCTGTCTGTCTAGCCGGGTAGCTCGGTGGTTAGTGCTCGCCTAGTAAACTTAATCCAAAGGTCATATGTTCGATACTGGGACAAGTGTGTTGCTTTTTGATGGATTGAAACATTTGAAACTGGTCCTAGCTGTTCTTGATCATTAGGCTTTTAATAAATGTTCCTGACTAATAAAACAACCGGTCTTAGTCAGTAACAAAGCTACACAAGGCATCACACTCCATCTACACTCATATTTGGGTTAAATTACGCATATAGGTGGTGTCCCCATCTCAAATGATAAGTTAAGTTTAATGATAAAAAATATTTATGTCACAGCCACAGTGATAGCCTAACAATTCATCTTAAGGCACAGCCACACTTGTGGCATTCACCGGACACTAAGCAGCTACTTGCGAATCACAACTACCTTAGTGAGGATCAGTTTGTGTACTTATTCGACAATGTTCATCATTTAACTTACCGATGCGTGTTGGTCTTTTCCACACATTATTGCAACATATGGACTGCTTGAAAAGTGAAAAATATGCACTTTTGTTCGAAAATCAGTGATTACCAATGCTTGGTCTTTTCCACACATATTGCAAAAAATGAACTGCTTGGAAAGTGAAGAATAACTTATGCACATTTGTTCAAAATCAGTGAATATCAATACAAATAAGCCTAGTTTGCCAATAGACAAATATAGCCTACTTAAGGCATTCGGCTAAAGCCACATGCACGGATCAGCCTTTAGATTTACCTTTGATTGTTCCCCAAATGATAAGTTAGGACAACGGGTTAGGCATAGAAATAGACTTTGGATTGGAAGTTTCTAGTCTCGGTCAGTCCCCATTCTCGGGCTCTCATTGCAACGCACGATGTTGTTTCTGGGTCGCCCCATATATTGGGGACTGGGACGGGTGGCGTCGTCCTGTAATCCAGCTACTAGGTCACGAATTGTGGATATTTATAGGCATGCACTGTGGATGCGATACTCCCTGGTGTGGATTAACGTCCACACGAGTGAGTACTACGACTATCTGCAGTACTATCCAGATAAGTAGACCAATTCGTAATATATACCAAGGCAAAGTGGTTCGGATTCCACAATAAATTGTAGGTGCATGGGCTATTAATCAACCTAGATGTGTCTAAGGAATGTCGGCCTTAGTCACTAACAAGACCACAAGATCGCGCCACTCATCCTACACTCATCTCCATTCATACTTGGCCTAAAATACCTACTTTGTATGGTCGCCATTTAATAAGAAAAAAGGCCTATTAAAGTATTAAAAGTATACACCACACCGCGGCTGTTCCGAGTGCACTTTGTCCGGAAAACTATGAGTTTACATTCTTATATTGAGTTACTATACACTTACCAGGTAAGTCAAACTCTGCATCTCTGTCGATGGGATGAACCCTTTTATAGTTATATTTTAATGATGAACTTAGTGATCTGAAATCAACTGCAGATGGATGAGATGTTAACCTCTGCAAAAAAGCTCTCTTCATTATGGTAAACAAGTACCTAAGGCCAACAACTCCAGTGGAATGATCGAATCTTTGGTGGTGCCTTTTGAGAGCCACACTCTTAGTGCCGTGACCAGTGAGTGATCGAGTCTTTGGTGGTGCCTTTAAAGGGCCACACTCTCAGTGCCGCGTCCAGTGGAGTGATAAAATAGGCCTGGGGAATGAAATATGAGACCTAAGATAGGGCACATTGCATTTTATAATTTGACATTTCGAAGATCAAATGGACGTGTATCAAGTAAACCAATAATTGTTGGTCGGTCAGACGCAAAAACCCTATAAGTTAATCAAACCTTTTGCTTGAAATAACTTAATTTTTGTCACTTCACTTGCCGATTTCGATTGGTTCGAAGTTCTATAAACTTATAGTAACATTAGTAACTTCTAAGTTAACGTTTTATTTAACCTAACCATGACAACAAACACAATAATACAATAAGGAACAAGAACAAACAGTAAACACAAACACGAAACAGCTAACAAACAAAACAAAACAAAACAAGCTTGGGTCCTTGGGTGCGGCTGTCTGTTGCGGTTCGTGTTTTTCTCTAGTTTGCTTTTCGGCAGGCTAAACTTTACTAGTAAGTTTCGTTGTTCAATATTTAGGCTGTATCATAGATTAAACATACTAGGAGTATGTTTAATCTATGGCTGTATCTGATCACGGCCGCCTTTAACTCCAGGCCGCGGCCTTTGAAGTGGCAACGTCGCAAGTGATTGTTTACAGCTGTTTTGTTTGGAAGCAGCTAATGGTGTGGGTGTATTTGTGTATTTATTTATGAAAGATTGGTTACTGGACTATGACAATATTGAATTCGCCTAAAAATGTACAGATATATATTTTTAATTCATTTTGTTTCGGAATTTGGTTTTCAATTCTGTACATTTTATTTTCAATATTTTAATAAATTTATGTTCATAAATTTAAATCAATTGATCTGATCTAGTGATGATCTGATACACTAAGCAATAGTTATATATATTACTGTAGTTCAATGACTAAAACCATTAACTTTGAATACATAGAAAGCAGATTTTCTCCTTTAATAAGCTTGTTTTGATAAACGGTTTATGACCGGACACGTTTGAGTTTGCTAATGTATCTTAATGTTTTTCTCCTAAGTATACAATTTACAACGTTTGCTTTACTTTCCTGGGGTCAAAGTAAAAATTAATAGTTTGAAAATACGTAGAATTATTGAGGGTAAAATAAAGCAAAATTTGGTAAAAAAACCAGAAACATAAAATGGCAAATTAAAACCCCATCATTACTTCGTGTACAGAACCAAAGAGAACACATAGACATAGGCTACATAATGAGGTCTTCAGTGGACGTTTAGGTGACCCATTAGGGTGGCGAATCAATAAGCTAATTAAATTGTATGTTCGAACCATAGACAGATCCATAGTTATTTTATTGTCCTTATGGATGAAATGAAAACGGTTTCTTCGTGGTTAATGTAATATAAAATGTTTTGTTCTTCATTGTGTGTTTTTTTTAATTTTACTAAATATGTACTCGAGATAATATGAAATAGACAAATTATTTGGGCGGTGACTTTTTTTCATCAAATTTAACATACCAACACAACTGGTCACTGTATACTTTTAATTCAACTACTATTCAGTATGTTTTAATCCAGCGGGACCAGCAGACAAAATTCGTATGAAAATGGTGCAATCTAGGTTTTACTTTCAACGATTTGAGATATGATTAATGTTTGATCTAATTTAGAGGGTAAGAACAATAAAAACAATGTAATGTATTGTGTAACGAGTTATTTTCCCTAGGGGGTATATTTTTGCTATTTGGCCGCGCACCGATTGTTGAGGTGAGCGAGCGGCGGCAGCGAGGCTAGCGAGCGCCCTTTGACCCGGCTTATCAGTGCCGATAAGCCTGGGATATCCTAGATCTTCAGGACAGTATAGGACGGACATTCTAGTGGTGGATCTCGGACAGTCAAGTAGTAAGTGTTGGTGTCCTGTGCCTGTGGAGACGGCTGGCGTATGTTGGTGGTACATCGGAGTGTGGTGATACCGGTGAACAGTGTTGGTGTTAAGTTGGGTACTGACCCACTTGTGGTGAGTGGACGACTTGATATTATTAGTTTGATAATATTAATATCTGGTTTTATTTGCGAGGGTTAGAGTTGTAACCGTGCTGGTCAAAGCCTGACGGTAGTTAGGATTTATATTAGTCAGGAATAATATTAAAGTGTATTCCTGACGGTTCTGGGCAGGTGCTAGAGCGCAAATAATATAATTTATTTGACTGTAGCAGATATTATTTTGCGTTGTACCTAGAGTTAGTTATATTACTAATAACTCTGAGGCCCGACAAACCTAGGCTGCACGATTTAGCGTGCGTAGTTGGAAGCACGAGGCCAGTAGGCTAGTAGCTAGTTTTATTAGCCTATTAACAGAAGCCCGGCTAAGCAATATAACGTTGATATAGTAGCAGTAGTGGTAGCAGTAGTAGGGTTGTTATTGTTTATTCATTTAATTATTTTAATTTAACCTGAACAGCTTGCTTAGTAATCCAACACGTTAGCTTGGTAGCTTGGATAGCGGAGTACCGGCTATCAGATAATATATTTATCTAGTGTTTGGAACGTATTTAATATTTATTTATCTGCTACTAAGTAGCTCAATATTTTAATAGTGCAATCGCCATTTAGTTTTGCTTGTTTGGCTTGGTATTTATTGAGACCAGCTACTAGTGGTGTAGTCACTCTACCTATAGTGTACCTGTATCTTATTATGTGGTACGATTATTGAGTGAACTGTTTGATTCTTAGCTTGGGCATTAGAGTTGTGTATTGGATTATAGTGGCCTAGTAGACCCCGCCTGGTGATAACACGCGTTGTGGTTTTTATTGGCAAGTCGTCGTGTAGGTGTAACTCACCGTGTTTTAGGCACTCTGGGCTTAACTATTGGATAGTTAGGACGAAGCCCGAGTTGCGTAGTCAGCAACGACCCCCTAGGAGTGTGGAGAATCGGCGTAGGTCTGGTAGTGATTATTGCACGTTTGTTTTGGTGACTTGTTTTTGACTTGTTCACAGTGCCCGTGTATGAGCCAGTCCTATACCGGTTAGACCCGGCTTTTGGCCTAGTGGTTTCCCTGACCTTGTCGCAGACCCTGGAACTTTACCCAGCCATTGTAGGCTGAGCTATCCTCGGCAAACGGTTGCGACTGACTGCACTTTTAATATTTTTTCCAGTGCAGAAAATCGCGTCGCAATTGTAGTGCGATATTTCTGAATTTCCTTTTTTTTACGTAGTTTATTGTGTTAAGAGACAGCTTATGTTTTAGTTTAGCACGAACATTAGAACAGAAACGGTATGGATGAAAAACATTAAGGTGAAATGTGTGTGCACTGGGCGAAGTTTTTATTTCTTCTGTGGTTTTTCGATACGGATGAAATGAGAACATCGGACGTCATGGCGTGACGTCACCCTCTTCTCTTGAGGGAACGCCTTTACCGCAACTTGCAACGCAACCAAATGAACCGTAATGCAACCATAATTACAAAATTATAAATTAATTTTTAGTTTTTAATTACAAAATTATAAAATTAATTTTATAATTTTTCATTTTTTAACTCTCATTTCGTCCGTATTGAAAAACCGCAGCTGAAATAAAAATTGTGCTGCCACTGACCCGACAGTAAACATGATTATTATAATATCCTAAGGGAACTGTCAAACCAGCCCCTTTATTATAACGTTTCTGTTCCAATATTCGTGGGTTTTAGCTTGATTATATTTCTCTCCAAAGGGATGATTTATAATCAATGCTAAAGATTAAATATAGCTCTTACTCGTTATAGTATGTTGTAATAGATCTCCAATTAAAAAGGCACTGTTTGTCAACGACAACACAAAGTGTAAAGTGTCAAAATGGTCCAAATTATTAATGGCTGCTTTGGTGTCAGGATTTATGAATTAGTTAGATATCCAGTTAAATAATATAATTCTATTAATACTTAAGCTAATATATTTTCTATCGTTTGCCGAAATTTGTTGTTTTTTTTATATTGTTAGTTTAGCAAATCTGCTTTCATAGAAGAGTGAACGTCTAGCTGTACAACCAAAGAACCAAGCCCAGATTTTATTGGATTTTCTGGAGTTATGAAAGAAGTGAAGGCATTTTGTTTGTTTTCATCAAGAATAAGGGATTATATAAATTAAATTAGTGACATTTAGTGAGTTATCCGTCTCTAAAAAAAACTTAAATCAAGGTAACTTTAAATTTGCCATTTTTAGTTTTAATTTGTGTTTGTTGTGACTTTTTTTAGAAATAGGCTATAGAGGCCTAGGCCTGCCTTCCTTAATGTAGAGAAACTTCACTTTTAGGTATTTGGTGTTGGTTTTACTTTTAGTATTATAACGAAAAGAAGGGTTTATGGTTTATTAAAGTTAGTCTGTTAAAAATTGTGACCTAAGAGCCAGTTTCACCTACATAACTTAGTCCAGTGTTTTGCGATCTACCTATTAAGTTAGGCTAAGGCTTTTCGTTTATATGTTGACAAACTCATCTGGACTCAAACTTGTTCTTAGACTTCTCATTAAATAGATCCCAAAAGGATGGAATGTATTTGGTTTTACTGCTGATTCCTGTTAGGTAACCCTCTAGGTGCCGCATTGAACACCTGTAAATGTCACTTAATTTTTGAGACTTTTGCGGAGTTTGATTAAAAAATTAATAAAAAATCTAAATGATGACATAGATATATAACATTGTACGGTATATTTTATTAAAGCAAATAAAATTGTCTATCTAAAAATGTATGATATTTGTGTCTTTTAAATTCTTTACATAACCTCAAATGTAAAAAAATAAAAATCACTATATTTGCAAAAACTGAGACATACATTTTGTTCTAAATGTAATAAGGAAAAAGAAAATATATAGTTTCACCCTGTTTTTCTTTATAATAACTCTAAAAATCACGACAACAACAGTACAACGTAAACACTCGTTCCTTAGCAACTTAAACAAACAATGACATATGGGAAAACTATCACAGAACAAGAAAAATAGTTTGGGAAACGGCCGTCTTTTATACTCAACATGAAGCCCAGAATCTCCTGAACACGATAGTATGCCTGATGACCGGGTTTGTTCGATCTTGTGGGATTATATCAACTGAAACCGTAGGCCTGTCAAGTCGCCGTGATTACGGCGATTGACACTTGCGGCAAAAGAATAGTCGCCGTAATTACGTCGATTGACACCAAGAGGGTTAACTTATTTAACTTAAGTTATTTGGGCGACTGAACGAAAATACTCTGATTGGGGAAGGATCCCTATCAAACCCATCCAGTCGGACCCCCTTCCACTGCTCTTTTGATTCTACAGTGAATCAGTCCTGATACTTATTGAATGGAGCCTGTATTTTAAATCATGAACTAACCCTAGCAGTGGCCAATG